AGCCCATGTTATTACCATAGTCTAAAATTTGAGATGACATAATACATGTATACATAATCTCTGCAATTGAAACTATGGTAAAAGTGTTTTATTGCCAAAACAACTCCCCACTAAAATACAACCACCATTTTCTCGAAAAGAGTCCCCCAGCCAATTTTTTTGTGTCTATATCCTTATTTCTTGGAGTACAATTTATTGCAAATTGAATAAATTCTGGGTGTAGATGTAATAACACGAAAGTATTTTAATATTCTAACACTGGTGGCACTATTTAATATAGATTCGTCCTCTTACTGTCTTCAAATGACGCACATTGAAGCCCCAGATTTTGTAATTGTTTTGTATCATACGGGATCAGTGCATACAGAGGTACATTAGGTAGATGCAGCAGATATCTTCTCATAATGGTTACCAAAACACATGACAGAGAAGAAAACGTAGGCATACAGTTAAAGACAGTGCATGTTGAATTTCATATACACAATGTATTTTACCAGTGTTGTGCATGTCCCTACCAGTCACATATTGAGCAGGACACAGCGCGACAACCACTGCCTTTCAATTGGTTCAAAATTAGTTTCTAAGGTAACAGCGAAATTCAAAACTTGTCTATTCAGAGCATTAGACAATGCTTAGTGTAAACGCAGGGGGTCAAGTGAAGTCAACATAATTTAGTATATAATAATATTTGTTTTTGTGTCAACAACGAAATGTGATAAGTAGGCGATTAACTCTATGCGCCCAAATCAACAGGCACCATCCAAAAAATAGTTCCATTTGTCTGCTGGCTTCCATAGAATATGTTGACAAAAATTTCAACTCTCATGCTCAAACACAAAAAGCAATGTCACATTATGTTTATTTGGTCCAAAATTAAGATTGGATTCAGTAAAAAATCACTGTAAATGCGAACAAATTGACCCCATTTTTAGCAGGAACAAAAAGGTTAAATACAAGCCAGGCGGCTGAACTAAGTGGGAGTGAGTAAGCGTAGTCTCGTAAAAACTATCGCATGCTACAAAATTATGCTTCGCAATGCAAGAAAATTCATGAGCTAATATCACATTCTTGAATTCAATTTTAATATCATTGCATATGTATAAACAACTACAGAACTATCCACTGGTCAGTGTGGAAAATAACAGACCAAAAACTGCCCCAAAATGTACAAAAATAAATTGTGCTGGCAGTGTACACATGTTGCATAGATA